GGGGCCTCCGCCCCCCCCCTCGAGGGCGCCCCGCGCAGCCCCCCGGAGCCGCGGCGTGGAAAACGGAGGGGTTTCTGCGCTTTTTCTCTCTCCTTCCCCCCCCCCCTTCCCCGTTCTCGGAGCGAGTGTTTGAGGCTTAGCGAAGTGTTGGTTCACAGCTGTGTGTTGAGCCTGTGCCGTGGGGTTGTTGCTGCAAAGCCAGCTGAGAGGACTAACCTCCTTATCCTCCTTTTTTTTTTTTTAAATTATTTTATTTTTTTAAGTGAGGCTTTGCTCTCAGATGAGTTGCCCGTGCGAAAGAGCACAGCACCAAAGTGTGTTTTCTGCCTCTGTGCAGACACGGTTTCCCTAAACACCATCCCCTGAAGACAGCCGAGTCGTGTAAGGTAAACTCGGACACCGCTGGCATCAACGTGTGTCAGGCTGTGGCACAGCTGGTCCCCGATAGGGTGCTGAGGCCGAAGCTGTCCTCGGTGGAGGTGCTGGAGATACGTGGCTACCGCAGCTGGGGGAGCAGCGGTAGGAGGCTGCTCTTGCTCGTTAGAGCCCCGCAGACGATGCCAGCGTTCAGGCGAGTGTGGGCGCGTGTTTAAATGCAGTCGTAGCTTACGCGCTGCTTTCAAACAGCAGGGCGCTCTAACCTTTTTGCAGTGTAAAGGTCACGGGTAGAAAAAAGCGTGCGGACCGCAGCTAACTCCTAGAGGTAGGTGTCTCGAGCTGCCGCCGTGGCCTTGCTGGCGCTGCGCGTGGCCGTCGGCAGCACGCCGACCGACGGGTGCAGCCCGGGTGCCTGTCAGGCCGTTCAGGAAACGGGCTGCTGGCGTGCAGCTCCCGCTGCAAGGGATCGATCGCTCAGGAGTGCGTGCGGTGACCGGCTTGAATAGCTCCGGTGTGGCCAGAACACGGTCTGTAAAGCAGTAATTTGAATGCCAGAGAGATGCCTGGGAAGGAATTTGGATGCCTTTTCAAGAGCTTAGTTTTCTGCCAGATAATTGAAATTACTATATCCTGGTGACTCTGCCCTCAATGAATTCCACAGCTGAATTTGGGTAAGTGCAGTTCTGCTCAATTGTCTAAAACTCTTGGCCAAGGTGAAAGCTGTTTCCCTTCAGAGGCATTAGCTACAATAGTGAGAAAATACAAACCCCTGCAGTACGGGAGAGGCTTGGCACGTCCTCTCATAGCCAGAAGTCCTCTCTGGAAACTGGTGACTCGGGGTGGGCGCCCTGAGCTTCCTCCGCTTCCACTGCGTGAAAGATGCCCTTAAGCTGAGGACCGTCGGGATCTGAACTGCTGGCTCTTCCCATAGGAGAAAACGGCTAACGTGCTTGCATCCGGGAAGAAAACTGGTGCTGGTTGTTTACTCGGAGGTGCGTTTTCTTTACATAGTGGGTTTTTGAACTGCAGCTGCCTACCTCTTCAGTTCAGCTTTCTTTTGCCGACTGTCAAGGCTGCTAATGTTTGAACTTACCTTTATGCTACCGCTGTTGGAAAAGCTTGTTAGCAGTCGCAACACTGAAAGGGGGCAGGCGCTTCCCTCCGACTGTATTTGCCTTAGGAAAACCTTGCTGCTGCAGCTGCCTTCCTATTTCTCTTTGAGACATCCCAAGGGATACTGGTTTGGGAGGTCAACATGAGCCTGGTCAGGCCTGGTTTCCAGTGACTTCCTTTCTAGTCATGCTGTTGCAGCAGTGCAAGTGTGTTACAAGATTAGGTTTAGCTGCAGGGTAGGTGTAACTGTGGAGGATTTATCTGTTTGGCAGATTACTTGCCTTGTATTGGCTGTTATAAACACAACTTAAAGCTGGAGCTGCAGAAAATGGAATTACTGTGGCGCTGGTTTCTTTACCGTATTCCAGCCTCTGTATGAAGGAGTGTTTATAGCTCGATCCGTGCTATTGTGCCAGAACAGGAGCCAAGCGGTAGCACAGGAGTCCTGCTATACGGACAAGCTGAGCCACTCCTGAAAAAATGTCCTGAACTCGCTTTCCAAAAAAGACATTCAAGTAAAGCTTATGGAGGAGTTCCACTCAGCTAAACGGGCCAAAACTTGTGCTCTCTCTTCTGCAGGCGTAAGTCAGTCAGTCAAACGGTACCTGCCCATAGGAACTGTTGTGTTGTGTGTGTGTGTGTGGTGGTTCCCCCCCCCCCCCCCCCCCCCCCCGCCCGCCCGCTCGATGTGCCATTCCTTCATGTTGCTGGACAAAAGCTAGGCCGTTACAGGGTCTAGAATTATGTTTAAGTAAAGGCTTTTAGTTGGAGCGCTTTCATGGTAATGTTGTTCTTTAGGGCCTGGGGATTTAGGGCCAGCTTGCATGGTTCTGAGTTGAATTAGTCAGGAAAACCTGACAGCTGTGACTGCTTAATTTCTAGCATTAATAACACCATCAAATCTCTGTTAAACAGATACAGTAATACAGTGCATGTTCCAGTTACTACTTAATTTCCAGGATTTTTATAGATACATGTATTCTGGCTTAGCTACTGCTGCTGTACTGCAACCCATACTCTTTAACTTTTTCAGTAGTAAGCCTTTTGGCATTCAAATTTTGTCCGTTTAAAAAAATCTGCCTATACAGAGATACCAGTTAAATTTTGTTTGACCATAATCTTTTTTTATACACTTTTAATAGTCTAACCTGTCCTGCTGCTGTTACCCCTTATTTAACTGCTTAGACGGTCCATTAGTAGTTTTAAGATGCTTTTTTTCCCAGGTATGATATGTCTTCACTACAGTGCAAACGTGTAACTGCGTGGTTGGACTGATAAAATAGGTGTAAAGCTTGATCTATGTATTTTGGGCAGCCCAGCAAAGACAAAACTGAAAACTCTGAGAAAGCTGTTAAGGCAGTGACTTGAATGTGAAGGCATCTTCTGCTCAGCGTATGAGGTAGCTGCTATGCTAGTGAAGTGTTAACCACTGCCAAGTCTAGTTTTTTTGTTTCCCCCTGCCTGCTAGACTGAAGATAATTGCAGATTCCTGGGTGCTGAGTGTGGCATGTAGTGTGACAAACACTGAGGAGTAGGATGCTAGGAATGTGGAGTGTAAGGAGTTTGCTCTTGGCCTTAGGATCAGATTGGCTCTGGAGATTACATTGTATGGGAGCCACATCATGCTTTAGGAAGAGCCACAGCAAATTACTGAGAGAGGACTGAGGCTAGGCTTGGTGCTTTTCTGGTCCCCAGAAACCCTGTTATCAAGCAACAGAAGTCAACTAATTGGATGTAGGAACAAAACTTCTGTATCTGAAGCCTGACAGTTTTTGGCTGACCTGGTAAGCTGCAGTGGACCTTAGAGAAGACAGGCCTGATGCATGCTGCTTAGGTGCACTTGGGTGCCTCTTCACACTGTCCTCGTGGCCGTTGCTCGCCCTGCTGCCCTGTATCGCTACCAGGATGAGAACAGAGCAGTTGGCCTGTTTTTTTTGGTGGAGCTGCAATCCTGGACTGCAGCAGTCAGATTGATCAAACTGAAAAATGTGTGGTTTCTCTTTGCTGGGCTGCGCTTTCGCTAGATTAGTGAGCTGATCTGACTTGTGGTGCAACTGCAGGATATTGAGCGCTGATGCAAGCAAACAGATGGGAAGAAGTAGCCAAGGATCGCGTGCCAATGCTGCTGCCTGCTCCTGTGGCACTGTGGGCTGACATCAGCCTCGGGTGTAGTTTTGCATTTGGCTCTAGGGTCTGTCTTTGATTGCCATGAGTCCCACTACAGTGCTTGGGGGAGTGGAGCCATGCCAGGGGAAAATGGGTGAAGTGTAAGTAGGTACTGGTATGAGTAGGGGACTTGGCCTGTGAGGATCTTAGTGGTGTCAGTGCTTCCTAGTTGCAGGAGTAAGTGCTTCTGGAAGGGACATCTCTTCCTGACCTAGCATGCCCATCTTAAGCTGTGTATGGAATGGGTTTTTGGTTAATGACCGAGTATTTGGTGCATATGCTATGCTCTGTAGCGCAGACTTTCTGTGGCAGTCTGCAGACCTCAACCATGCTCTAAGGTGAAAGTAGCTTGACCTGAGAGTCCTTTGTCCAAGTACTGCTCTGAAATCTCATCCCAGGGAAATGGGTGGGAAACAACTGTGATCCCTGGGTTGATGAAACACTACAGGGTGACAAAGCAAACTTTTGAGTTTCTAGGGGAAATTCACCTCCTCTAGAACTTGGTACATGTATCATCCTGTGATACTGAGGGTTAGTTGCTTGAAAACAGGAAAAAAGGGAAAATGTATTTTCAGCCTATGTACACCTAGGGTCTCTGTCTCGCTCCAGGTGCTCTTAACACATCATAAGGAGGTAGTCAAAATACACTTACCTTCTGTCTACTCCTTACCTGGAGGTAAGGAGGACTTCCCTGGAGGCTGTTTTCTGGAAAATATCCAGTGCGTCTTGGAAACAGGCTTCTGCGTCTTGGAAGCATGATGCTTAATACTTCCGCTCTAGAATTATTTTTGATAGACTGACAAGGGGCCTCACTACTGGAGCCTCGATGAGGCTTCAGTTTCTAAAAGCAGTTGGTCTGCCTGGGACCTTCTATTTAGTAGTTTGACTCTTACTCTCAAAGGGAAAATGGCTTTGCATGGGGTATTTGCTTCAAGTTACAGGAACCCTTAAGGTAGCTTAGGTGGACTGCTCTTGCATTCCTTACCTCTGAGTGGAAACTTGTAAACTGATCAAACTCTCAGTAAAATTACTTGGGACCAGTTAGACTAATGTGCTAAACAGCCTTTTTATTTAAGGCACTGAAAACTATACCAGCTATTCAAGAAGGACTGAAGTCTTAACTGCTCTATATTCTAATGCTATGTGCTGTATTGACTTACATGGATGTTTAAATCTAAATGGGGCAGGATACGAATTTTCCTAGCCCACAATTGTAATCTAAGAATGTGGTTAGCCTTGTGTGTGGCCATGCTTATGCATTCTCAATATTGTTTGGTGTCTGCTGCAAGCGATGGAAAGCAAAACAATGATCTCTGAATCCCTTAAGCTTTAGAGGAATTCTGTTTTCTCACTGCCATTCAGAAATAGATTTTTGTGCTGCTAGTTTGGGATCTGAACAAGGGCCTGCTAAGTTGAGACCGCTAACACACACAGAGCAAGCGCACCAAAGAGAAATAGTATGTTGCACGTGAAGCTTATGTGAACAGACCTCCGCTGCTGTGTAACGCTCGCCCAGGTCTCAGCCAGAAGTGTCAGGTATACCTGTGCCCCGTACCCATCTTCCTTTACTGCCTGATGTGCCTTTAGGGGTTCTTGGTGACCCAGGGTTCAGCTCTGTTAGAGCTTGGTACCAGTGTGCTTGAAGAGCCTGTCCCGGTGGTTATGGCTTACAGAGCATCAAGTCTTTCATTCTTGGTAGGTAGCCCTCTAAGTTCCTGCAAGATTCTCTGTGATCTTCCTCCATCCATACTGACAGTGCTATGCTCCCTTTTCCAAAGTCTGCCCAAGTTGGGAAGGGGTGTTATCTCTGGGCAGATGCACCGAAGTAGCGATGGACATGTGTGGTAGGTAAAACTAGATGA